TGCAAAGAAACAGTGGAAACTGGTGTTTGTAAACTGACAGACACTTTAGTAAATATTGATAAGAGCCCTCCAAAATTACTCATTTTGCATGGTGTAATATGGTTGGTGCAGTTCATAAATCCTGTTTTGTTGTCATTATATATGTACAAACTCTTTATATTTTAGTCTATTTTCAGTGCTTCTCTTGTGATTATTGAATTTGAGACACTGGACGTTGAGATTAAATGTATTAGATTAGTTCAGTTTTAATAAGAGCTTGAGATTCTACAGTGGAATATCTGAGTACCATTCCGGTCTCTTGTTTGAATGTTTTCAGCTTGCATCTCAAGTCGTCCAGGACAGTGTGGTCGAGCTGATGGCTACATACTGGAAGGAAAAGAACTTGAATTCTACATGAGAAAGATTAAAGCAAAGAAAGGAAAATAAATTAATAATGTTACATACTGTATGTATTGAAAGGGTCTGAGAAATAAAATCCTTTGTCAGACACCACGGTGGAGAACAGTAATATCCATTTCCTATGTAATAAGGGACATAACATACCTTATTTTTGTGCCCGGGGTCACATTTTTCATTCTGAAGTTTATCTGAAATGAGGGATGTGACATGTACACAAGTCATTTGGTTCTCATTCAAACCTTACTGGAAGTTTGACAGGTGCCCTTTTTCAGAACACTTGCCTACAGAAGGCACCAGTTTGTGCACATGCTCAGTGTACAGAAATTGAAGAGACCGATGTCAGATAGTTTTATGAATACCTGAAGGACTGGTTTGAAAAAAAAATGAGGTTCAATTTTTTCATGGCTTCTTGCAGAATAAAGTGTTTCGAAATTAAAGTGTTCTGACAATGGTGTACTACATTTTGAATTACTTAGTTCCTGGACAATGTCCATTGTATTCTAACATCTCAGAAATTGGATCCATCTACATCTTAGGTGAAAGGGTGGGAAGACATTTACTCGATTGGATCTGCTAGATAGGGCTAATCTGGAAGAGCTATATTTTCTGGGGTATAACACTGAAGTCTGTTCAAAGACTACTAACCATTGGAGAAACATCTGGCCTCCATCTGCAGGGTAAAGAATAAGCCAGTCCAGAAACCAGCATGAAGCAGATGGCAGGCTATTATTCCCCATCACCACTGCTGTGTGAACTTCATATCCCATGTAGAACTAGCTAATCCGTTCATCCTGACAACTTGACAAAGCGTATGCTTTTGTACTGTCTGTTCAGATTGAATGAAGCTACCGATGTGCAATAATGAGGGTTGTTTTGATTATGTCTAGTACTTTACATGGATAAACCAAACAAAGCAGTAAGGGGAAGGTTGATGTCAACTGACAAATGGATTCAGCTTTACGTGTTTTGGGATCTTTATTACAATGTGAGCAAATTTAATTTTGGTTTATCCAGAAAACCGAAATTAATGGCCGTGGGGATTCATTGCGCTGACCACATTACATGCTCTGTCAGCAAAAGTTGGCACTAACTTCGCCGACAAGCAGCGGTCACTCAGTTGGTATAGTGCGCTTGCAGACTAAGACCGCGGAGTTAGTTTTAACTATGATTTATTCTAACCGTCTTACAGTGCATACATTTATTCACCTTACTCTTCTCTCTTGCACTACATGTTTCAGCACAAAAGTGCTATCTTCAGGTGCTTTTCGTTGTACGTCAAACTACTTCATTGCATGCCCTGTTGTCTTTATACTAAAATATATACTGCGTGTGTTATCNTTGAGGTACAACGAAAAGCACCTGAAGATGGCACTTTTGTGCTGAAACATGTAGTGCAAGAGAGAAGAGTAAGGTGAATAAATGTATGCACTGTAAGACGGTTAGAATAAATCATGGACATAAATCAGTGCAACAGGACGCTAAAATATAACATTAGTTTGAACTAGTATATGGAGATGTAAGAAATACAAGGAAAAGTGATTACTGAAGAGGTATTATGTATAGCTTTGTAAGAAAGTATCTGCAATACAATTGTTTATGTTGAAAACTTGCATTTATGCACTTTAATAGAAAATTGACTACAATAATTTGACACTGAAAGGTTGGATGTTTATGAGATTCAAGGTTTAAATATGTATGAATGATACAGCTGTGGAGGAATCTAACCTTTTGCATGCCACAAGATGATTAGATTGGTTCTGCATGCTTGCATTGTAACTACCGTGTTCAGAGAGCTGAGCATGATGTCATCACTTGCTAGAGCATTTCAGTTAACAGATGGCACCGAGTGTTATGCACACGTTTTCAGAGGAAAGTCTTTAAAAGAGAACTTGAGCCATTACACTTCTTAACATATGAATCAGTATTAAGGTCCAGGTGCAACAGTTTATATCATCTTTTATATTAAACATAAGGCACTTGATGGACCTTAGTAACGTGTATATATGTATATATATATAAGGGAAGAGCAAGCCTTGATGTTTGTAGTCTGTGACAGCTTGGCAGTCAGAGGGTTAAGGCTGGGGCCACACAAGCGCCCAAAATGCTACACTTTCTTCTGGCTCCATTGCAGACAAAAAAAAAACTATGCACCGCATTCTGCAACTGTGTGGTGTCCTCAGCAACGTCCATCGTAAAGTACGTTCATTGCAACAGACGTACTTTGTGTGCTCATGTGGCCCCAGCCTAAACGTGGATTGCTGAGGTAAAGGATTTCATGGTTTTTGACAGGTTCTAGACATGAGATTTTTAAGTCACATATTTAATTGTCCACATACAAGTGTTGCATGAGCAATAAATAAAACCTTCGAGGTATGTACTCATAAAATTGCTGGAACAAGGCTCATGAATTCTGCTTTTTTATAGGATTCATTTTCCTCTATACTATCTATGAAATTTAAGATGCAAGTCACTGTATATCTTGTTCATTGCTTATGTCAACTACAAGTTACTGAGACCCCCAGCATGTTTCAGTCTTAAAAAAAATATCAGGGTGGGTGTACCATATTGAAAGGAAAGTTCACAAAGCATGTATGTAACACCAATGAATTACAGTATCTGGGACTTAAATCTCCCTTATATTAAGATTGACCTTATGTTACAGAATAGTGATGCAGGTTGTAGTTATTGTTTTGTATCATACTGTCTCACACTTTCTTTTTACTGGTGCCTGTAAATATTTACTGATGCATGAAGCTGTATGGCTTTGTCATTGTGGTTAAGTGTTGAAATGTTGGGTACTGGCAATATGTGTGCTTGTATGTGGTTGGGCTTGTTTATGCACACCATAAAGTGTCATGGGGGTTAAAGCTGTGTCAGAGAGGTAGTTTGTTTTTACTTTGGATTTTTATTCCTGCTTTTTGTATGTATAAATGTAGACATTTTCTTGCTGGGGATTTTTTTTATTAGTTATTTGTTTAATCTGTTTTATTAGGTTTTATATAACCAAAAAGCCTTAAAATTTATTGTTCAAATACAATACATCAAGTAGTCTATACGGACAACAGGAACAAAATGAATCAAAAGTAGGCTCAGCAAGAAAAGGTCAAATAATGAACATGAAAGAAAATATCCATATTTATATGTATGAAGCAGGAACAGGAATCTGAAATAAGAACTAACTACCTCTTTGACACAGCGCTAACTCTTCCAATCGTGCATGCACACAGTTCTGACTTCAGCATTTCATCCTCCAGGAACCATGACAAAGTTATTGATATATGTATTATGGGGCATGCGGTAGCATACTTGGTTGAGGGGCTATGCCACAAGTCGGAAGGTCGTGGGTTCAAGTCCAGAAATGAGTACCAGGAATTAAATAATTTTCTGGGGAGTAAAGCGCAGCCGGCGCGTAAGGCTGACTACCTTACTGCCATGTTTGAGCCAATTGTCTAGATCAGGGGTCTCCAAACTTTTTGAAACGCAGGCCACATAGGTAATTCAGCACTTTCAACGGGCCGGATAAAATGAGAAATTAATAACCCTAGGTATATGAGTTTTATTGAAAGCACAGAATTTCATAAACTAAATACAAAGTACGTGAGAATAAATTACCGTATATTAATGACAACAGACAGCAGCAGCAAATGCTCATATTCTCATCACAAATTATAATAAAACAATGTGAATGATGGAACTCTTTCTGCATTCTTAAAATCTGATTAAATTGAGGTTCAAATTTTGAAACACTAATCACAAGTAGCGACTTTAAATGTTCATTGGATAAATTTGCCCTGTATTTCGACTTGATGTACTTCATCTGGGAAAAAGTTTGTTCACACAGATATGTCATCCCAAAAATGAAAATAAATTTACAAGCAAATATTTGGCTTTAAAATTATAATTTTCCTGAAGTTGAGTAATTTCCATTTGAATTTGACATGGGACATCTGCAGCATCACAGTCAAATGGATTTTGAAACAATCTAATTTCCTGAGCACTGGCATCCAAATCAGCAAATCGCTTCAGAAATTGTTCTTTCAAATCTGAAATTACTAAATTTGCAAACAAGGAAGGAAATTGTGCTTCACACTTTCTATGCAGCTCTGCACAGAATAGCATATGAACAAAGTTACAGTTTTTCACTTGGCTTTCCAGAAGTATCACCTTTGCTCCAAGCAAAACTTGGCATAAGTTGCCTTTAATACAAAAATGGTAATAAGTACGACACCGGCAGTGGTGATGATGATCTGTTACAATTACACTGCACCACTGCAAGAAGTCTTGTGTGCAAAATGGCTAGTAACAAACTGCTCGCGCTACCTACATTGCCACGAAGTGACACTGCCCATCGAGGCCGAACAGGTACAAAGAAATACCGCGCAGTATACAGTCCAGAATTAGTAAAATTGTGAATAATATCAATATTAACTTAATGTGGAAGATCAGTATATTTTAAACACAATTTGAATTTGAAATCTATGAACAAGTATTTTTCTTACCAGTACTCTTTGGGAAATTATTTCAATTTCCACATTTCTGCACAATTCTTTCGCGGGTCGTAGTTTGGAGACCCTTGGTCTAAATAATGTGGGACCCTCAANTTTATTTAGATATATTGTATTTTGCTAATGAGGAACAATACCTTTAATCTGATCATAAAATAGAAGCATTAGGAAAGTAGAACCTGATATTACTGTGTTATATTTACAGATCACTAGAAAGCAAGTATGAAGCATCACGCAGCATGATATGAAACAGTACAAGTGTGATTAATATAGTTTTCTCTTAATAATGTTCACCCCTTTATAATGGTCTTTTAAATACAAAATATGGCGGAATTGTAGTAGCATGTCAATATAAGAAGGAATGCACGTTGGATGGTGACTTGCATCTTCATTCATATTAGCTACATACTGAACCTTGGTACTAAATGGAGATGAGTGGTTGGCTCCATTCTGTGGGAGGGGCTTGCTAGGCCCAAGAGCCATCTGACATTGACAAAGAGAGAAGTTTGCCTCTGCTTGGAATCAGGAAACCAATTTTATGATGGCTCTTTTAAGACTGACAAAAAAATTTTATGTTGATGAAGAGGTTTATATTCTGCAGGCCAAGTTTGAGACAATGTATGTGGAATTCGGTTGGTTGTGTATTTTTCCATGACTCCTAGAATTTAGGGGGCAGCTGTCTTTTCATGAATACTGATCATTAGTATATCCTAGAATTTAGTGGGTCAACTATCTTTCCAGCCATGAGGGCAATGTGGGTGTCCGTGTCCAAGACAAAGTAGAGAAAGGGATGTGTGACAACAAATCTCTCGGTTGCTGCTCTGGCCGCCATTGTTCCTGGAAAAGAAAGTTTCCATAGCTTCAGCATGATCATGTTATTGAGTTTTGCAGTTCTTTATAAAACCATTATGCCTGTAGTGAATTAAATTTTTTCTTTGCCTGAAAATATAGAAAACAAAATACTGTATTCTGCCTCTTGTAAACATGGTAGAAAATACAATAAGAACATTGCAGTCTGTTTGTGCAACTCCACATGGCAGTATTTACATAATTTGAAGGTGCTTACCACAAAGGTATTGAAAATTCATGCTCAGAATGGAGCTGTGTGGGTCCCCTCCCCCCTTTCAAAATTACAACTACATGGAGCTGAGCCCTTTTTGAAAAGCCACCAATTGTGCATCTACTCAAGAATTTCTCAACATTGTGTGGAACCCAGAAGTTCAATACCGTGTTCACAAGGGCCCTTCACTGGTCACTACCGTTAACCAGATCAATCCAGTTCATACCACCCTATCATTTCTCAAAGATCTATTTTAATATACTCCCACCTACGTCTAGGTCTGATAGTGGTGTGTCTGCCACTGAAATCCTATATGCATGCTACATACCCTGACCATCTCATTGTCCTTGATGTGATCATTCTAATTATACTTTGTGAAGAGTATGAGTTATGAAACTCCTCATGATGCAGTTTTCTTCAACCACCTGTCACTTGATCCCATTTCGGTTCAAATAATCTCAGCGCCACATTCTTAAACCCCCTCAGTCTGTGTTCCTCCCCTAATGTCAGACCACATTTCACAAAAACCACAGGCAAAATTATATATTTTTATTCTGATTTTTACATTTTTAGACAGATGATTAAGATGAAATATTCTGGACTGACTGGTAGGAAGCATTGCCCGAATTCGATCTCTCATTCCTCCCAAAACAAATTTTGATTTGATACCATCACTGCCAAGTATTTGAACTGAGCCTCATTTTCAAATGATCTGTTGGCTATCTTTGTGTATTTTGGTGACAAGATATCAAAATATACTTTTCTCCTTTTGCTTATAGACAAGCTTCCTTACTAGTGTCAGAATTCCTGTTTCTTTATGATTCCGCTGTTATCTCCCAGTAGATACATATCAGTATAGACCAGCAGCTGATTTGTCCCATTTAATTTCAGTCCCACGAGGTTTTCTGGACCTTCCTAGTGGCATATTCTAAATCAAATGTTTTAAACCATTTTGGATAGGAAACATCAGACAAATGCTCACATTATGTTTAAACATAGGCACGTGTATGAGTATGACTATAGAAGGGGTTTGGACTGGTAATTGGATTTATTGAACTCTTGCAACTTGTAACTACAAGTAAGGCTTGTGATCGCACTGTTCTGCGCACTTCACAAATCACAATAGGACACACTAGGTCTCAGTGTTAAGTTTTGTAGTAGCTCTTGCTTTATATCGGCTCTCAAAGGCGTACGTTGTAACATCTCGGCACGGAACGTACAGAATACACCGTTCCTCTTTGTGGGCCGTTGTCTAGCAAGATCGCCACCTAGCAACAGATCTACATGTCACATTGCCCCCCTCCTTAAGATTAGTCATATCGGGAGCATACAGGTGTACGGCCGTTTCTTCAAGGGCTATGCTTTTGATATCTGTGATTGTCCTCGCCTTCCTTTCCCGTGGCTTGGTTGTCGGTGATTACTCCCCACCTGCTCCCTCCTTAAGCCCGCTCGTCCCGAGAGGTGTCCTGATCAAGTGCGAACCAGTCCATGTATACCACCATCCATCTATGATTCGGCTGGATCCTATGTGCCACAACATTTATCCCAGTGACTACCTTGTATGGGCCCTCCCACGAGGATTGGAGTTTGGACTATTTCCCTTTCGTGCCAGTTGGTCAAAAGAGCAGCACTTCGTAGCACGCGCAGGTGGCCTGCCCTAACTTATGTAGCCGTACCACTGACACCGCCATCTTTATTTGTAATCAAGATTTCTTTTTAGAGTAATGAAGCATAGGATGTAGTAAGGAACATTCAAGGGTGACTTAGCCCGATTCTTGGTTTCAAGAATAGGGCCTGCTTCAGTGCTACAAAGACCAGGCAGGAAGCACCCCGCAGAGTTTTCCTGGAAATTCAGTTCGAAAGTTGACCGGTGGGATCCTTTGGTAAAGTTACACTTGACAGGTTTTGAACTCCGTAAGTCAAAAGTGTGAAGGCCAGCAACCCATGCTACTGGTATAATTTTTCAAGCAGCTGTCAAAAACGACGTTAGGACTTTAAGGTCCAAAGTCCCAAATTAAAGCTAGGTGATTGGATCAGTGAGAATTATGGTTAACTCCCCAAATTCGAATTGTTCCAATCAGCCGAAATTAGGGTAGTAACTTGGAGGCGGAGTTGAAGCCGTAAAGATTTCTAGCTTCGAAGCAGAGTCAGTCTGCGAGAGCAGTCTCTGGACAACTCTCCAAGTGTACAGCCGAAAAATTAGCGTCACTTGCAGTTGGGTTTAAAAAGTCAACGTTAAAACAGAATTAGGTTTAAGTGTGTTACGGAAACAATCCCTGAATAACACTGCAAAATTTAATGGGAATCTTACTTTGTGTTAAAAGTTTAAGCGAAAGTGTTACTTCTATGTGTTGTGCTAAAAGAAGCAGTCGCGATTTCAAGGTGTTTTAAGGGATTAAGGACAAATGCTGTTACATGTATATCAAGATCTGCTCATTAAACAGTGTCTGGTAGAGCCTAGCTATAAACACTCTTATTTTTCCTGCTGACGCGAGGCCCGTATTCACCCTGAGACAGAATCTCATCGCTCTAGTGCGAATGCAGTACCTGTCACCTGTAGTTTCCGGTTGATCCCCCCCCCTCCCCGTTTTCCTGAAATGTAAGCCATTATAGTAAGCTTACTGGCGCCCAGCATTCAGATAACCCATACCCCGCAAACAATTATCCACAACAACAACAAAAAAGGGGAAGCAGAACTGGATAAGAAGGACGCAGCAGCAACCTGCAAACTCGGAGTACCAACAGGTGAGAGGGAACGACTAGAGGAACAACTGCAACCAAGGGGCCAAAAGGACGGTAAGAGAAGGAAGGTGGCACCAACGTGAGAGTAGAACGGTTACAGAGGGAAAGTGGCGCACAACGTAAAAGGGCCCAACGGAGTAAACGGTTACACTTTCATCTGGTTACTGACAGCTTGAGGTGTTGGTCATAATTGTGGATGACATGTAGATAGTCAAATAAATTTGCTGCATGATCGATCGTGGGTCGTTTTGTTGTGGGGTGCTCCAAACAGCAGGTGGCATGGCAGTGGGAGTTATCTTCCAAACGCTGGGCCAGACGGGGTCAAGCCCGTAGCGTCGTGAGTGGATGACCTTGGTCCCGAGAAAGATGAGTAATCTTGCCTCCCCACCCCTCTGGTGAGATGCGACGACTTTTCTTTCGGGCTTCACTGTTGTGACGTAGCGATCAACCATGCCGTCCGATTGTGGTTGCAGGAGAGTGGTGTGCGCCTTAAAGTTACGACCCTGATCACTATGTAGCTCTCGCGGTATTCCAGTCATCAGAAGAAGTTTGTAACCAGCGCTTCCGCCACTGTCGAAATCTGGTTGGAAAATGGCATAGGCTTCCGGCCACTTTTTAGAATAGGCTATAGCGATCAGGAGGTACCGCTTTCCTTGGTCGATCAGTCGCAAGGGCCCTGCTACATCGATGGCTATCCTTTCGAAAGGGGCCGCGACGTCCTGCTGCATTTGGCCCCTATTCCTGGTTCGGGGGACGCGACTGGCTCCACAGGGGTCGCACTGCCGGCACTACTTCTCAACATCATTTCTTGCCTGGAGCCGGACCTTATCTAGGGTCTTCTCGACACCAAACTGGCCTGACGGCCCACCATTTTCGGTCAGCACGTCTTTAATCCTGAGGGAGAACTATCTGGACTATTTTAAATCGTCCATTGGCAGATTTCCAGTGGCGCTCTAGTATGCCGTTCCTCGCAGCAAGGGATTTCCATTGGAGTCCTAAATAAGACATCTTAACAAAGTCTTCACTAACATCCCTGGATCGTTGCAGAGGTCAAAAGGTATGACTGAACTGCCGTAGCCCTTGACCCGTCGATGTCGCAGTCCTTTCTCAGGATAGAGATCCACATGCCAATAACCGCTCTTCAAGTTCAGAGTGAGGAACCACTTGGCTCCAGCGAGCGTGTTCAGAGTGTTGTCAGTCAGGGCCAGTGGGAAACAGCCTTTCCTTCTGACACTGTTTAGTTTCCTGTAGTCTACATAGAAGCGGAGGTCTCCTTTCTTCTGGACGACGACGGAGGAAGAACTGAGACTGACTCTTCGATAACCCCACGTCGTTGCATGTCTTCGTGCATCTCGCTTGTTTTGCTAGGGGGAGCCTCGATTTTTGGCGAATCGGTCAGATCTTTCCTGCATTTATGAGTCACTCAGATTTGGCCTGACCCCTGCAATCAGGTCCCGTAACTTCGGGATAGTGTCTCGGACCTGTAGTTGTTAAACGTCAGGTGTGGTCACAAGCGTGACTCACAGTGTGCCAGGGATATTCTTTCATGTGCCTCTGGTCGCGACGTACTATAGCATACAGGACTCTCACTGGTACCTCCCGGCGGTCTCGGACCAGGGTCCTGGCTATGTAGAGTCCTTCGGACCGATTTGCCTCTGGACTTGGTTGTAACAGTCCATTTTCCACTCCAAAGGGGCTCTCACTTCGAACCATTACCACTCCCTCGCATTCTGCAGGTATCACCTGATCATTCGCCATTCCCAGGCTGTAAGACGGGGCTCCATAGCAATAACTCTTCCCTGCAAGACGCTGCGTTTGGCTCCCTAGGTGTACAGATGCATCATATCCGCTCAGGATTTACTCGTTTGTGATAATTTCAGTGGGCGCCGCCCCAGGGTCAGTGTCAGGAAAACATCATTCGATATGGGGAGGGCATCCCCAGATACTGTCTGCAGCTTTAGCATTGGTTCGGCTGTCTTTCGGGCCACCTGGCGACGATGTCGGGCCTGTTGACAGTCACGTACGCCTCAGTGTTGACGTCACGAGGGATAGTTTACTGAAATTGAGAATGGCTTGTGGACTTGATGGTAATCCAAATGAATGGCTTAGGCATCTTCCAAAAAGATCACTGGTACATATGACACATTTATTTAATCACTGCCTTTGGCTGTCCTATTTTCCAAAGCCTTGGAAGGAAGCAAAAATTATAACGTTACCGAAACTCTGTAAGGACTCAAAATTTACGTCAGATTTGCCTCTTGTTCACAACAGGTATCTAATCGAGAAAGTTATTCTGAAAATAGCCCAAAGACACGTGGAAGAGAGAGACCTGCCTGATTCAAGCCAGTTTGGTTTCCGTGCCCGTCGCAGCACATTTCAGTGTATGAGGCTTATGGACCACGTCACCTTAAATTTCAATAATAACATGTCTACGGTCGGCTGGTTAATTTGCTGCTGGTCTTCGCCAGCACAGTCCTTTCGGGCTTCAGTCTGGCATAGTCATGTACGTGTTTCGAAATGGGCCTCCTCTTCGACGAAGGAGTCGGTTCTATGTAGGCGCTACATTTATTGCACAATAGCTTCAGCGCGAGTATACATGTACTCGCTTTCACGGCGTCCAGGTCACTATGAACACTGTACATCCTTTTGCGCTGTACTAAGTAACATTCCTACAAGATATACAGAGGTTTCCTGTCAATAAATGCTTGTGCAGCAGGGTCTACGAATGCTAATTGGCCTACTTATAACATCTCGGCACGGACTGCACATGAAACGTCGTTCCTCTGTTGCTTAGCGTACTGCGCAGAAAGCACCATACCTCTATTGTCTGCAGGCCGCTGCCGTGCAACGCTGTACAGATGCCAATCCAGCCGGCGCCCTCTAGCGAACGGTCTAGCATGCCATCAGCCTAAATAGTATCACGGGTACCTCAAACTCTATGAGAATATTGTACAGTATTTCCTTCCCAACTGAATCACAGGCTCTCTTGAAGTCTGTGAATAGGTGCTGTACTGTCTCATTGTACTCCCCCCTCCCCAGTATCTGACAAATGCAAAAAAAAAAAAAAAATTTGATCAGTAGTTCATCTGTTACGTCGAAACCTATGCTGATGATCCCCAATAATTTCATCTATACTATGTTAACTTAACCTTGAGAGAAGGATATTGGATAAAATTGTGAATGAAGTTGATAACACTATAATTACTAGTAAGCTTTATCGCCCTTCTTATAAATTGGTACAATAAAAGACTCCGTCCATTGAAAAGGCAATTCTTCCTCAATCCAAATAAAATGAATGAGTTTATGAAGCTTAACCTGTAATGGTTCACTCCTACTTCAATCAGTCCTGCCAGAATTTGATTATTACCTGACAGTTTATAGTTTCTCAAATGTGCAGTAGCAATTTCAAACGGAAAAGGAATATGTTGTGGTACCAACGGCTCAGCTATGTGTACTTCTGTCTGCCTAATATCACTGATCCTATGTGCAGTCAGTAGCTGAAAGAAGTAGTTCTTCCTCACTCACTCATGGAGCTGAGCCCTTCTTGAGAAACCGCCAATTGTGCAGCTACTGAAGAATTTCGCAGCATTTTATGGAACCCGAAGGTTCACTTTCGTGTTCACACAAGTCCTCCACTGAACCAGATCAATCCAATCCTATCTCTCTAAGATCCGTTTTAATATTGCCCACCCACCTACCTCTTGGTCGTCCCAGTGGTCTCTCTCCTTCTGGCTTTGCCACCAATATCCTATATGCATTCCTCATCTCCCCCATTCGTGCTACATGCCCTGCCCAACTCATTCTCCTTGACTTGAACATTCTACGTGTAATTATACTTGGAGAAGAGTACAAGTTATGAAGCTCCTCATTATACAGTTTTCTCCAACTTCCTGTAACTTCATCTCTCTTCGGTCCAAATATTCTCCTCAATCTATTTTCCTTCCTTAATGTCAGAGACCAAGTTTCACATCCATACAGAACCACAGGTAAAATTATAGTTTTGTATATTCTAATTTTTATGTAGTTCTTCCACCTATTCAAAATGTAGGAATCTGGAAGCAGATCACAATATTCGTTCTATATTAAGTTAGCTCTAGGGTGTTTTCCCCTTGGGGTGGGTTAGATAGTCCATTTTTACGTAGGCCAGTACCAGCCCAATATGAAAGGTGAGTATGGAGCATCTGGTGGAATGAGGGGAAACCGAAGTACTCGGTGAAAACCTGCCCCATTGTTACTTTGTCCACAACCTGGGATCGAAGCCGGCGACTAACCACATGAGCTATGGCACGGCCTAGTTTTTTAATTTCATCCTTTATACAGGTCTATAATGTTCTTGTTTTTACTGTGATTTGCTGGTTCATTATTTTTGCCTTGCAGATATTCCCACTGATTATTCATGAAATTCCTGCTGGTTTTGCGTCTTGTATTATTCAGGTTGACCCCATTTATTTGGCTTGTTTCCTTTGATCTAGTAGTCCTGACATTCCTTGGTCATACCATGGCTTATATTTCTTAAATTCTTAATAGCCTAGACTGTCTTTGAAATGTTTAGTCACATATAGTGACTCAAATAGTTTCCCAAGTTCAGTTAATACTCGTACCTACATCACTGCCTAAGTTTTCCAAAGCTGAGAACTAATTTCAGATTTCAACACGATTCTGCCCTATTCCCTCCACCACTTTTAATTTCTTGTGATTTTGAACCTCTCCATATCAAATTTTCGTGTTGTTTGTTGACTCACTGCCAGTCTGTCCATAAATTCGGCCACCACCAGATAGCGATCAGTATCTCAGTGCACTCCCCTGAATGAACGGACTTCAAGTACACTTGAATGCCGTCCCCTGTCTGTTAAAATGTGGTCAGTTTGGACGTGAGTCTTTCCAGTTGGAGATGTCCAAGTACATTTATGAATGTTACGATGTGGGAACCTTACTTTTGACAGTCGTATTTTTGGATGTGCAGAGTTTACTATTGTGTCTCTATTATCGTTATTAATTTCGTTTAAACTCTCGTTCCGAATTATTGGTTTGAAAATTTCTTCCCCACTTACTTTGGCATTGAAATATCTTTACAACATTTTCATATGGTATGCAGGTAATTCATCGAATCCATATGCTGCTTCCTTATTCCAAGCAGAGCAAAAATTCATCGAGACCTGACTGGTAAATATTTTCTTTGTCCTCCACGAGGGGTCATGGGATCTGCCACATGATTGCCCCTGCAGGGTTAATATATCATGCAGCTGTGTAGTTGATATCTTGGTGCTCAACGATCATTCTTTCTTCGTTAGATATGGGAAGTTATCTATATGTTACGGTGAGAGGGTTGAGAAATGCACAGAATTTTGAGAAGTAATTCTCTTTGGAAAATGACTACCTGAAAGACAGAACGATATGAAAATACGTATTATCAAAATGGATGTTACAGAGATAAGTCGTGAGGATTAGAGGTGGCTGGAACTGGCTCAGAATCATACCCAGCGATAGTCCTTGGTATTAACAGTGCTGAATTTGCAGATTTATGCCACCACAGTGTACCTCGGACTTGAACTTGATGCGTTCCCGAAAACGGGTCATAAGTCAAGTTCATTATAACGTGATGCGTAAGGTGATTCCAATTTGTTCAATATCCTAACCATTATGACGCCATAATTCATGGAGCCGAGATGGCCCAATCACTTTAGCAACGAACCCAGGATAGGATGGCGGGAGTTCTATTCCCGTCCTTTCCAGACGGTCCCTGGTGCTCACTCAATCTCCTCTCTAATGGGTATGGGTGTGAAGCTGACCACTTTTCTGCTCTATTGTTGAGGTCATGAATGATGAAAATGCCTCTACTCTCCCATGCGTCTTCATGGCGTGGTACATACAGGGACCGCTTTACTTTACGCTTATCATAATTCTGTTGTTTTTCGGTGTTACAAAGAACAAGGAACTCCTGGGCGCCAATTATTGCGCTGAGCCACACTGACTCAGCAACGTGTGACGGACTCGAGAACGGGACATGGCGGGCCAGATAGTAGGTGTTGATCTGTTGGGCTCCGAAGTCGGGAAGTTCTAGTTCACGATACTACTGATGCACGCAGTATACAATGTGTAAAACCTTCGATATTACGCACTGTTTCCACGTATTTATTAGAGGTTCGTCCACACCTTGGATTAAATTTAATATATTTACGGTGCCTGCGTTACAGTCTCTAAGGTTTACTGCATAACCTGGGAGCTTAGGAAGATAATAACCCCTTACTCTAACTAGGTACAGGCTTAAGCAAAATGGTGAGCAGCCTGGCGTTGCTTGAATGCCCAGTGTGACATCATGCTATTGTTTCATTGGCTCACACCCAACTGGATACCACAGTTTACAAGTGAAAAGTTGTAGTGCAAAGGCCATAGTTCCTGTCTCACATTCCCTCCAAGTAAGACAAAAGCATTTCTAGATACTCTAATTGTAGATGAGTAATTTTGTATGACCTTGAAAATGTCAACGCCAAGACCAACAGGTTCTCTCTCTAGCCTTGGAACTCCACATGCGATTCAGTGGCTCACAGGTCTATGAAATACTCATCCTCATTCTAATGGACACTAATTTCACGGTTGTCAGCTTGGAACAGTTGCATCACTATAACCGACTTATTTAATTGGTTACAAATTTGTACTCAGGACTGATGGTTACTTTCAATTTAATTTGATTTTAAGTACTGTGTTATGTCAAAGTTCCAAGGCTGCCTCTAATAATGGCATGCAGAAAATTTTATTGTAATTATGAAGGCTGTGGAGAAATATCATACTTAATGAAGAGTATCAGGAAGGTTTCATTCAGGAAACTGTTTCTTACTGGTTTGGATGTCCAAGATTTTAATGTAGTTCCGTATGACAACGGTGACAGACTGTTCGATGTTCCTCACATACAGCTCTGGGTCATTAGACATGCCAGATAGGTTGGCCCGGCGAGGATCGAACACATCCCAGATACCAAGCTGGAACAAGGTTATTCATAGCAAATCATAAGGCATGAATGCCCTTTCCTTTCTTTTCTTACACTGAATTTGCTTTTAACATGTTTACTCAAACACTAAGGAAAATATAATTTTTAAGATGTACTCTTGTGCGATATCCACACCAAACTTAAACCTGTTGTCTTCATGGACATTTTTAGGTACTTATTCTGTGAATTTCTACCAAATCGAAATTTTGAAACTCTGTTATTACCCATTCTGTTAAGGTAGATTAACCATTTGTAAGAACAAATCAGTTTCTCAAAACCATGCGTCTTTCTATTTCTATCTTCCCTCTCTAAAATGGAAAGTAGATCGTTACAATATCCCACGTTTTATATATTAACTGAGCCATTTCTTTAAGATCCGTGGTGATATTATTCTCCAATATTCACTTATGGTACCCAAGTAATCTTATCATTTCAGATTTTCTGTCTGAAATTTTATATGCATTTCTTATTTTCGTCATTTATTAGGCTAAAGACGGATGCAATCCCGTTGAGAAAAGTAAGCACATGATAAGATCTAAAAGTTTGTGACGATGGGTATTGTCCAAAAACATAATACTTGCAGTAAGTACATGATGCCAGAAAATTGAATATATGTGTAATACTGGTTACATGTTGCCACTGAGTGTGACGTAGAACAGTACCTGCTGCAGTGTGGGCGTGAGAATCACAGAGCCCTCCACCATGAAGCTGGGTATGACGGCCTGCACTCTGGTGTACCGAAGAGCTTGGTAGATCTGACGGAGCGGGCAAGAGGTCAGATCGTATATGAGTTGTCGCAGCCCCCTTTTCTCCACAGGCAGCAGAAGTAACAATCTGTAGCGCTCATCCTGCCACATTCCAATAGCATCAGTAACAGCAGTTTGTGATTACACCTGCGTAATGGTTCTTAATGCTTGGAATATTTTGTTGGTGGTAGATACATGTCAGTGAAAGCTAAAATACTGGAAATTTAAGTAATTTTACGTTTCAGTTATAAGAGATTTTCTGTGAGTTGTGACATGCTACTGTGTGGTATGCCAGAACCAGTGCTTTCTCCCAGTGAGTTCACACTGTTTCGGTACAACCTGTTGCTAGACAGCCCAAAGGGTAAAATGAAATTGGAAAATAATAATGCACCATTATCAAGTAGACTCTTGAGGTACGTGATGAATATGGTTTTCCTATGCAGTAACAAATGTAAATAATAACTGTAGAGGCGATCTTTCTACAAAGCTGAAATATTCCGGCCAGATCTTGCCACTGTATGTATTTGCTGCGTTGTTGAGTTCTACTAAAATCACAATATTCTGTTCTCCGGTCATGCGTGGCATATTTTTGTTATGAGACTATTTGAAATCTATGTTGATCTAATCACATTCTGGCCCCCGAATTACACAAAAATCCTGGCACACTGCCTAAGTAACAATGCAAAACTCACGTCCAGAGGAAACTCTAATGCTTGTGCATGCAGACGCTGAATGTAAGCAAAGCGAAATGTCATTGTGTAGGTCATGACAGGCACCAGTTCCTCAGATACCCCGTCTACGAGGAAAGGCCTCTTAGGCAGCTGGGTATACAGCTCGAACCCGCGGGACAGCTGGCTGTCGGACATCCCGTTCTGCAGCTGGAGGCTGATGTCAGGAAACACAACCATAGAATCTGAACAGACAGAATGCATATATCTGCATTTTCATTATAGGCCCTCATTTAATATCAGGTGTGGAGGATGGAAACACAGCGGCAGAAGAAAACATCCCATGCGGAACATGTAAGGTAACTGGTTAGGTTATTATACAGTAAACTCTCGCTAATCCGGTTACAGTTAATGCGGATCGAAATATGAAAAATCCTGGCGTTGCCATAGAATTAAATTTCTGCTCATGCGCAAGTACGTGTACTCCATTCCGGAGGGCCTGGCAAGGCCGCTCGTTTGCACTGTAAAACGTACAAATGTCGAGAAGTGTTATTTAACCTATTAGTAATGTATCATCTTGCAATACCCCTTTTCATACTTCCAAGTCTATTCTTGCTCGCCCAGTGCACAAACATACGAGTATTTCTATTAGGCTGGGGCCACACGAACGCACAAAATGCGTCAGTTGTAACAAACGTCGTTACGTCCGTTGTAGAAATAAACAAGAGAGGCGAATGCTACACTTTCTTCTGGCTCCATCGCAGATAAAAAAAAAACTACGCACCGCATTCTGCAACTATGTGGTGTCCTCAGCAACGTCCGTCATAAAGTACGTTCGTTGCAACGGACGTACTTCGTGGGCTTGTGTGGCCCCAGCCTTAGTGGCTGCAGCTGTAGCAGGATCAGGTATATAGTGAGAATATAAGGGTTAAACCAAGGAGGCTGTGGAACGAGGATTTTTAGGTCCATAGAGGAAATGTCTTCGAAATGTGGTGTTGGAGAAGGATGGAGAAGATCAGTTGGACCGATTATGAGAGAAAAGAAGAAGTGTTAATTAGAGTCAGTGAGCAGAGGAATATCCTACACGAAATAAGAAAACGGAAGGCTAATTGGATTGGTCATATCTTACGCGGTAACTGCCTTCTAAAAGGAGTTATTGAAGGAAAGATAGAGGGGCGGATAGAAGTGACCAGAAGACGAGGAAGAAGACGTAAGAAGATGCTGGATGACCTTGGGGACAGAAGAGGATATTTTAATTTGAAGGAGAAAGCTCTAGATCGCATCAAGTGGAGGAACTGTTTTGGAAGAGACTGTGGACCTGTCGTCTTGACAGATTACTGATGAATGAAGAAATGAATAGGAAATGTGTTATCTAGATATGAGTAAGAAATGACCCAAATAGGATTACGTAAAGCGAAACATCAGCAGTCACTGACGACTGGATATGGGTTTAACTACAGTAAAGAATATCTGATACGCTTATCAGAATACCAACTCCTAAAAGCAGACCTAAACCTAGTGGCTTCCGTCAATAACAGACATCATTCTGTATCGTATCTTGTCTGCCACGTGTTCTTGTAATATTTGGAACTCCTTAATTGCCTCGCCCTATAAGAACAACAACATTTTGAACCTCGCAACAAAATAAAACTAAGTAAAGTCACACAAACAAATATAATGCTTTACCCTCTATTGATCTCCTTGTTCTGTTTCTAGACTCTAGTGTTGTATTTTCACTTGTAGCTGGACTCGACAAGTTGTACGCTAGAGGGAAAGATGTGCCCACTGTCCACCTGACCTCACGAAACCTGCTCATGGATTGTACTAACGCCTCGTCGTTTGTGACAATGCTACTTCCAGAGTCTATTTCCGTCGAGCTTGCTTGTTCTGTTGCATCGTCAGGGATGGTGTTATTGGCTATATCTGCTACTGTTTTCGTAGTCAATGTTTCTGGTCGCTGTTCGATGGATACCACTACTTCTATTTGTTCTGCACCTGCTGGTTGTTCTGTCGGTACCTCTCTTTCTGTTTGTTGTCCTGTCTCTGTCATTTTATCTTCTGATTCTGTCTGTGCCACTGCATCTCCTGGCCGTTCTGTCGGTACAGCTGTTTCTGTTGGCTGTTCTGTCTGTGCCACTGCATCTCCTGGTCGTTCTGTTGGTACTACTGTTTCTGCTGGTTGCTCTGTCGGTACCAGTGTTTCTACTGACTCTACTGTCGTTGGTTGCTCTATCAGCGTTACTCTCTCCGATACTTCTTCTGTCGCTGTCACTGTTACTGCTGGTTGTTCGGTTGGTGCGATTGTCTCTGTTGCTTGTTCTATCGGTGGGACTGTTCCTGGTGGTACTCTTGGTGTTACATTTTCTGTGGATTGTTCTGCGAATATCGTTGCCTCAGTTAGTCCTTTTGGAGGCCCTGCTGTCTGTGTTGTTTGTTCTGTTATTTCATGAGGTACAGTCGATGCTGGCTCTTCAAGTGCTTCTCCCAGCACAACAGTAGAAGTAACTTCCGCCAGCGTGGTAGCTCCGTTCGCCTGCGCACGTGGAACTGACTCCGTTGTAGTGTCCAACATTGGTGTGAATTCCTGTTCTGTTCCCGATTCTGTAGCACTGGTAACATCTCCTGTTGTCACTGTCTCGTCGTCGGAAGGCCCGGGAGAATTAGTGCTTTCTGTTTGGATGGTGAGAGTGGTCGAAGTAAAGCCAGCCTCCGGCGGCATTGTAGTTGCGGAAATCGAAACCTTTTCGGTGTTGTCTTGAGGCCCGTTAGTAGTTTCGTCTGAAAGTGCTGATGTGCTGGGGGCGTCTGTGCCTTCTGTCGTGGCTGCACTCTCTGTCACTGTGCCCTTGGCATCCGTTGTCGTGTTCTCAGTTGTGTCCGGTGTGGAGCCGACGCCTTCAGTGGGTTTGGATGTCGTTGTTGTGGCTGTTGCAGGTGTTGTAGATTTGGTGGGAGGGAAACTGTCTCCTGGAGCCAAGCCCACGTCGTACCCGTAAAACCGAAGGATCCGCCGATATTCCGGCAGCAGGGAAGTATGGTTCTTGTTTAGCGACAGCCCGCTCAGATAGCCCTCGTGGCTGAAGTAGCCCTGTGGAAGAGTGGCGGTTTTTAATCCTTGAAAATTTTTATGTACCAATTACAAAGTGACATGAATATTAAACATGCATTTGGGAAACTATGAAACTTTCATTAAATCAATATGCATTGTTATGTATTCGTATAATTATCTGATAATAGATCGCTAAAACTCAACACAATCAGGATCAAAGCCCACCCGCCGTTAAATTCAATCATCAACTCTTTCAATCCATTTAGTCTGCTCATACTCATTTTCTTTAAGACAGCGAAGGTACTATGCGCGCTACAAAGTCACAACCTTAATGTGGAAGCAGCAGCTTTCTGCGAAACGGTGGTGACGATCTAACCAACCACATGGCGTTACATCCGTTACGCTTTAATGTAGTAGTACATATATATATATATATGTAATCGTTAGAATGCATTTGTTGGAAAGGAGAAGCGTGCGGAGTGTGGGCTTCTCACGGCGGCGACTGTGAAGATTTCTTTTATTGCTAGTGGGGTGGGACTAAGTCCCTTGTACTGCGGCCACTTCTGGCTTACTGTACCAGCCTCAGATGATAGGTGAGGGTGATTGTGGAGCAATTGGTGGAATGAAGATTGGCAGGGGAAACCGAAGTACTCGGAGAAAACCTGCCCCAGCGACACTTTGTCCACCACAAATCCCACTTTACCAGACCCGGGATCGAACCCGGGCCGCCGCGGTGGGAAGCCAGCGACTAACCGCTTGAGCTGTGGCGCGGCTATGCTACTATGAAGATTAATTTCGCGAAGCCTCACCTTTTTCAAGACATGCATTTTTATAATTGTGCAAGTTTTACATGAGTCATTAACTGAAATTATTTTCGAGACCACATATCCACCCAGTTGACGGAACCCCAGCAGAGGGACGAGTCCCACTGCGTGATGTACAGCCGTTTGCTCCACTAGGAATGGGAATAACGTGGTAGCATCCTCAAAAGACCGCGATATCTTCCTCTCCAGTCCTTTCCAATTCAGCAGACATATTCATCCCCTCATCACATTCCAAGCACGCAAACTTTCGGATGTCCTCCGAGAGGTGCTAACCCGCAAATGTCGGTGGATGTCTCGAAAGCCGATGCGAGTGACATCTACATTCCAGGGCAGGCGCAGCGTATTGTGTATCTGCCTTGCGGCTTCGCCTCGTGCCCCTTCATACAACACCACCAGCACTGACGCAACACCATACGGGGAGAATGCGAAGTTGCTTCGGGTGTAAGCGTAATCCTGCAAAGCGACAGACACACGTGGTGAAGTTGTCACATTCATTACAAATAAATACATAATAACAATAATTCAGTTGTTTATTTATTTGTGTACTTCCTCAACAAACCAGAGGCCAATTATAAGGTAAGGACGAACAAAGAGACAAAACACACATACATACTAACAGACGAAACAAAGCAACATGCATAATCTAGACAATACTAATAATAAACACAAACTCCGTGGCTTTAGTCCGCAAACGAACTATACCGACCGAGCTACCGCCGCTTGTTGACGAAGTTAGTGCCAACTTTTGCTGATAGAGGGTGTCGCGTGGTCAGTGCAACGAATCCCCACGGCCGATAATTTCGGTTTATAGCAACAACAACAACAACAACAACAACAACAACAATAATAATAATAATAATAATAATATATTGAATATTGTCTTCGGGCAGTTAGCACTCCTGCCTTTTATTTGAGAGGTCTAGGGTTCAAGTCTCTGACTGAAGATCAACCGTCCTGATGTTCGGTATGGTTCTATTTTTACGCTGTATAAAGTGAGTTACTGAAATAGTATTTAAATAAACCATTAATGATAATGATAATAATAATAATAATAATAATAATAATAATAACAACAACAACAATATGATGATACGCAACGTTAACGCAATATCGTTAAAGCAGAGTAAGATAATGTGGTAACATCTCCATGGACGGCTCGCGAGAATTAAAATTCATTGTCGGTACATTTTGTTGACTCTGGAAGAATGATTCATTCGGAATACGAATATTGTATTGAGCATTTCCCTCGTGCATGAGGTAAAGCTGATACACTCGACGTTTCTGAAATTTACGGAGCTCTCACGTCCGGCGATTGGTTGTCGTTATGCCAAGTGTTTGTTTCCTTATTCAGGATTAGTGATGACTGCTCTGATCAAACTCGGGAAGTTTTGAAAGCTAGGATGATGCCCATCAATCAATATTAATTTTTAACATAAAAATATCTGTCAAAACGACAAATTTTCGCTCAAAAAAGGCAATAGAGCCAATTTCCGAAACGTCGTGAAGGTCTGTATCAAATATTTCTGCGACAATGGAGAATGTCCAAGACAATATTTGTGTATCAGATTTCATTGTGCATATATCGTGGTTATCGGGCCATGACAATGACCTGAGCTAAGGAAAATTGACATGAAATTTGGCGTGTGCAATTTCAGGATAGGGACCAATGGAAGACTCTTGTGAACATGGTAATGAACCTTCGGATTTCATAAAATGTTGGGAAATTCTTAAGTAGCTGGGCGACTTTTGGCTTCTCAAGAAGAACGTAGTTCAATTGCATTTGTTAGTTATGTACCAGAAGAAGACTACAGTGGAACCTCGCTTAACGAGCCCTCTCATAATGAGTGATTCGCATAACGAGCAAAACAAAAATGGCTCGCTTAACGAGCGACGTTTCGCATAACGAGTGACGAGAGGGGAAGTCCCGGATTGTGCGCTTGCTACATCAGTCTGTGTTTAGCACTCGTTCCGCTAGCGTCTTAGTGTCGCTTGTGATCACACATTTTTCCAAACTTGTGTTCAGACATATTATTTGTGATTTTTTTGTGCAAAGTTTAATAACCCTTGCAAAAATGTCCCCGAAGAAAAAGCCGCAAAAAGACAGGCATAAGAGAATAAAAATAACCGTAGAAATGAAACGTAAAATCATTGAAAAGCGAGAACGAGGTGTGAGCGTGGCTGATCTAGCACGCACATACAATCGGTCTACATCAACGATTTCCATGATTTGGAGTTGCATTGTGTTTCACAGCAAGAAGTTGTGGAGGAGAGTTTGTCAGAGGAGGAGGAGGACGAGGAGGTAACAGCAAAGCAACAATCTTCTGGCGCAATAAGAGAAATGCTGAAAGCATGGGAAACTGTTGCATCGTACATTGAGAAGCATCACCCTAATAAGGCAGTGGCTATGCGCGCTACAATTTTATTTAATGGTAATGCTGTGTCGCATTTTCACCAAATTTTGAGGCGTCGGCAAAAACAAATGTCTCTAGACAGCTTTCTAGTAGAAAAGAATTAGATATGTATCATTAATAATAAACTAATTATTTCGATTTTTTTTTTTTTTTTCGTTTTCTGCAAATCAAATTCGCATTCCAGGTTGGTTCATTCCGCATAGAAGAAAAGATGAAGATGATTCACGCTCCTTAACAATGTATATATAATTTTCTTTGAATAAACGTTATACATAAATTTTCTTGAGTATCTTATTCCGCATGGAACGCATTATCGTATTTTACATTAATTTATACGGGAAAATTTTTTTCGCATAACGAGTGTTTCGCATTACGAGTAAGATTCTGGAACGAATTATGGTCGTTAAGCGAGGTGCCACTGCAATCGACTAAATTTATTATTATTTTTTATTACTATTATTGTTATTTATTCACCGAGTGGGTTGACATTGCATTAACATTCTTGCCCCCTATTCGAGAGCAGCTTGGTTCTAATCTCGGCCGGGACATACGATATCCAGACGGATTTCTCGTTTGTTTTCCTCAGTCCCTTCAGAAAAATTCCAGGATTGCACTTCGATTAGGCCACGACAGTTCCTTCCAAATTCTTCCAAATCAACCTTCATCTGTCGTTCCACAATTTGACGCTATAAGGGCTAACTACTGAAAACGTCGTTATATAAATAACAATAAATAAAATAAAGTTCTTTTGTTTTTTTTTATAATTTAGACCTTCTGGCCTGTTGCAATTCAAAATTTCAAAAATTCTGTATGTAGGAATTCTTGGACAGGGGATCGGCCCATCGCAAAGCCTGTGCCTGCACAGGATAGCACAAATAGAAGAAACACAGATCTACAGCATGCGCCAAGTGGAAGTCACACCCACAATCCCAGTGTTGTAGCGGTCGAATGTAGTGTGCGCATTGTGACCGGCCTATATTTCTGTCATCTATTGCTATAGATTGAAGTGGATACAAACAAAAAACAAATTAATGTTCGGTATGAAGTTCTCACAACGATTGTTACAAAGAGTCCTACTATCTGGGATATAATACTGCATAGTTTGTTGAAAATCAGTCGACGTTTCGGAGGAACATATGGCTTTCATCTTTAAGGTCGAAGAATATACCAAGAAAGGAACCAACATTAAGCAGGTAGCAAACAGAGCTTCCTCCGAAACTTCGGTTGATTTTCAAGGGACTGCACTGCGATACATCTCAGAAAACGGCACTCTTCAAACCAGAGATTTTTCAGTGAAAGCAAGAAAGAAACTAACACACTTTTCTCTTGTAATTTCCCCCCATATGTTCAGGTTAAGTTGGAGACTGCTGCAAAGCTGTGGAAGTAAAAGGATTTCAGATTAATATACAATGCAGTAAATTGCAGGTAACACACCTGTAGGACAGCTACGCCTAAATCATTGGTAACGTCCACCATTGCTTCTATAGGGCGTTGGTATACTAGCACTGGCTCAGGGGCGCCCCAGAATGGTGAACTTCCACCCCCCACGAGTGTTGCCGCCAGCAGCAGAAATATGAAAACTGTAACTGATAAAACCCTGTAAGTAGTATTCACAAGAAATTATGTTAACAACAGATATCTTCAAAATTGCACATATATTAATCCTCGAGTGACAAGCCATCCAGGGCAAACAGGCTTAATGTAAACAATCCAATTTTTTTTATGGATATTTTAACTTATTTTGACTTTATGGCTGTGTAACTTTACTCAGGTCCTTAGCAAATATGACGCAAGTTCCTTTTACTGTTGAGCTTTTGAAGACGACCAGGAAGGACCAAAACAGGTAAGGCCGTGTAAATAAGAGGTTTATTTGCGGTAAACCTGTGTACACTGCACGGCTTGTCAATGATGTTTTCATTCAGTGCCTATTTTCAGCCTAATTTCCTAAGGTATGCTTATGCGATCTTCCTCTATGCGTGTCTTTGTACCACGCCTTGTTAACTTTCCATATCCTGAAACAGCCTTCACGATACTTGTATGTATGTATAACATGGCATCTGAGCCGATCTCAGTGACATACTTCATAAATACTGTGTGTCTGTATGTATATGTTGCTAGGCAACGGCTAGGTAAAAATGTTATAGCGGAAATATACACGCAACACTAGAAGAATTGTTGGACGCGTCGTTTTCTATGCCGCCCTTGTTGTATCAAAGAAGAGTCTTCTGGTCTGTCTGTGTTTCCCCTTATCGTTGCTAGGGAACAGCTCAGTAAACAAGTGTCTGCAGCAATGTGGAATTGTTGGAGGCGTCGTTTTATATGCTGTACATGTCGTATCAAAGGAAAATAGGCGACTGGTTCTTCCTAGAACTTCTTGTTTTATTTTGCTTTTTGTTATGACGTCAGTATCTATATAACGTCGATGTTAGGATGACTGACGAATTTGGAAGGAATCGGCCGTGGCCTACTCGAGATGTTATGAAAATATTTGCCTGATAAGACTGACTTGAGTCCCGACTGAGATTCGAATCGAGAATCTTCCGAATACAAATGTTACGTCTACACTAGCCTTCTCTGTTGCCTACTTTCATTTACCTGCTTATGTTGGGCGTGCTAGAGGAAATGATATGTTAGCAATTACACGCCTTAGTGCGTAATTTCCTTTAGGTTTAATACCTGAAAGGCGTAAGGCACAACCTCAAAACTCACGTTTCTTGAACGTCTGCAATTTGTAACCAAAGAACGTATTTCATACGCAGACGTTTCGGTACCTTTATTGCCCAATAAAATATAAATTGTTCATATCTACATAGAGCATAATTGTTAGATTTGAGGTTATCACAGCGGTGGTTACGAAGAGTCCTGTCTTCTAGGATATAACGTCGTGTAGCCCGTTGAAAGTCAACTGATGTTTCGGAGGGACATGTCATTTCCGCCTTCGCTGTCTAATAATAAGACAAGCAAGAAACAAACTTCAAGCATGTATAAAGCGGCTCTGCTTCCTAGTTCAGTCTGGTTCCTTGTTTGGCTTATTGCAACCTGAATATGGAGGCGACAGGCTCTCTGAAAAGGACGTCATGACGTTATATCACAGAACATAGCATTTTTACAGCATAATTGTTCTTAAATTATCGAGTTCAGGAAGAAAGTGAAAATAGTTTCAAAGCGGTCGCCGTATTATTATTTTGTATTATAAGCCTACATGTAAGAAAACTTAATTTTTTGTACTCTTATCAGCACACACAATTATAAGTGCTCTGCAGCACGCCATACTGTGCATGCGTCCCTCTCTCCCCAGACGTTCTCACGGCAGGTAATTGTAAGATGTGAAGTGAGCTGGTTTAGGCTGAGCCCAGTGTCAGGCTCTTGTGACAGAAACGAGAACTATTCTGGCTTTGTAGCATCAGAACGTTTCCTTACCTATCAGCTACTGAAGAAACATTGTGTAAGAGATAACCAACGTGTGTCCTGCTAAATTTAACGTAAACATATCTGCTCAAGTAATGAATTCGTCAAAGAACAGGTGGAGTGCTTGGTTAGAATCTCGGCTGAGACACCGGCTACAATGACTGAGCTTTTTCATAGTTTTCCTTGATCAGTCCAGGAAAATTCTGGGATAGTACCTCAGGTCACGAATGATTCTTTCCAATTAATTTATCGCTATACCACTCGACGGGACTCTGAAGGTGTCAAAAAGTAACCCACGCTTAATTTCATCTCAGAAACCTGAAGATAAAGATAATGATGAAAACGAAAAAAAAAAATTATTATGTGACATGTTTAAAATTGAAAGGAATCGCAGTATTCTGACCTAAATAGGACTCGATCCTTTGCCTGTCTATGCACGAGCCCCGAAAGTTAACCTATGAGATATTTTTTCGCATTTTGTTCTAGAGGTGAGGTGAGACTTTTTGGTCCTGCTGCTGCAAAGGGACCCTGTTGTACCTTTAAGAGTAAATGTAGCGACAACTGGCATTAAACAATCGAAGTACTCGGAGAGAAACCTGCTCCTGTGCCACTGTGTTCTCCACAAATCCCACTACGCTTGGGCTGAACTGGAATCTCCATAGTGTGAAGCCGGCAACTAAAGGCCTGAGCTATGACATGGCCAACCACTGAGCTAAATTGGATTATAAACTTACATAGCCAAAATATAATATTAAATACACGATAAGCCTGTATTAAGGATTAGAATTAGGGTGACCAACTCTTCGCACATTCCGACAATGTCCGCGGAATGACAACGTGGGGGGAAAGGAATGCCAGTAATGTACAGTACAACTTTTCGAAGTTATAGTGCTTAAACTTTAATTTGCATGTGATAATTATCATAGCATATTTTAAAAGTTTTCATTGTCGAACTTTAAAATGAACTAGGATTTTTTTAAGGAAAAAAAATATAGTACTTACCTAGTTACTCATGGAGCTGAGCCCTTCTTGAGGAGCTGTCAATTCTGCAGCTACGTACTCAAGAATTTCCCAGCATTTTATGGAACCCAAAGGTTCATCACCGTGTTCACAAGAGGTCTCCACTGGTCTCTATCCTGCGCCAGATCTATCCAATCCACACAATCCCATCCTATCTCTCCAAGATCCATTCTAATATTGTCCACCCACCTACGCCTTGGTCTTCCCTGTGATCTCTTTCCTTCTGGCTTTCCCACCAATATCCTATACGCATTCCTCGTCTCCCCCATTCGTGCTAAATGACCTGCCCACCTCATCCTCCTTGACTTGATCATTCTAACTATACTTGGAGAAGAGTACAGGCTATGAAGCTCCTCATTATGCAGTTTTCTCCAACCTCCTGTGACTTCATCTCTCTTTGGTCCAATTCTACTCAACACCCTGTTCTCAAACACCCTCAGTCTATGTTCCTCCCTTAATGTCAGAGACCAAGTTTCACACCCATACAGAACCACAGGCAAAATTATAACAAAAAAAATAGTAAAAGGATTAAAATATTTTTATTTAATGAACAAAATACAGACAATTAAAACTGACATATCCATAGAAGTGCATATTATTACTTTTTATAAATGACCAAAAATCAAAATTTTCAGTTTATCAGCTTTGGTTCATTACTGTAATTTAAGAACATCTTTTTATTTGACTTTGCTGCTTCCAGGATTTAGTTTTTCTGAAGCAAAAATGTGTAGAAATTCTTAGAGTTAATTTTTACCGTAATTTCGCCTTCCGTTAATTTTACACCGCTCTCATTGCATTCAAGATCGCCTCTGTGGTCTAGTGGTCAGAGTTCCTGGCTACAGAGCCAGAGGTCCCGGGTTCGATTTCCGGCGCTACCAGATTTTCTGAGAAGTAGTGGGTCTGGAACGGGGTCCACTCAGCCACGTGAGGATAACTGAGGAGCTACTCGAATGGAAAAGTAGCGGCTTCGGTCTAGAGGACCGAGATTAACGACCGTGGAGATTCGTTGCGCTGACCACGCGATACCCTATATCTGCAAAAGTTGGCACTAACTTCTCCGACAAGCGGTGGTCGGTCAGTCGGTATAGTTCGCTTGCGGACCAAAGGTCACGGAGTTTTTTTTTTTTCTTGTTGCATTCATTTCTCCAGTACCTGCAGTTCGTATTTGAGAGAACTCGCTCCACACAAGCGTTGCGCACAAGACTGGGGAGTACAAATGGGAGTAATCGTGCAGCGTTTGGAAGTCTACTGTCTGCTGCCAGAATTATTTGACACCAGTTGTCACTAGCAGAAAGAGCTTGGTTGGATTTGTCGTTAAGCAACAATGCAGATATAGGCTTTTTTTAATTGCTAGTGGGGTGGGACTAAGTCCCTTGTACTAAGGCCACTTCTGGCGCAGACATAGCCTTACTGTGCGAAATTCTTCGTATAATTTATGAAACTTAATGGACGTCTTCAGGTTCAAACTGCAACAGCTTATTTAAAGTCGGAAAATGTAGGTTCCCTTTTCAGGCATAATAACTGGATTTTACTCTGGTATTTTTCATAGAAATGGAACAACTTTTCGACTATTTGAGAGACCGTTTCCCAGTGTGCGGATAGCGGTGCAGTGTGCCCTCAATGTGGTAGCTAAACAGCGCTGCCATTTAGGCCTTATGGAGGAAGGTTGTTTCGCTGACTTCGGGACATTTCAACCCACTTTCGGGACGCAGTGTTCTAAGTGCCTTTTCGGGACCCAACCGCGAAAATTAGGACGGGTTGTCGCGCTGGATGAAATTGTCCCTGTGCTTAAATAATTAAGCACTACATAGAGGTGAGTGGCTAGTTTCACGTCCCGGTCGCTTTATCCCCGGGGAAAGAGCCCCCAGTACTCAATAGATGGGAGGCTTGGTGGGACCTAAAGCCAGTTTAGAGGCTGTGAAGTACTGATGAATCTCATGTCCTTGTCGGAAAACGAACCCCGGCTTCCCAGCCCTTAGCACGTCTCAATGCCGACTCAGGTATCTCGGCTCATAGGCTCCATGAATACTACCCTAAATCACAAGAGTTCTTTTATTGCTAGTGGGGTGGGACTAAGTCCCTTGTACTGCGGCCACTTCTGGCCTATTGTACCAGCCCCAGATGATAGGTGAGGGTGATTGTGGAATAATTGGTGGAATGAAGATTGGCAGGGGAAACCGAAGTACTCGGAGAAAACCTGCCCCAGCGCCACTTTATCCACCATAAATCCTCCTTGACCAGACCCGGGATCGAACCCCGGCCGCCGCGGTGGGAAGCCAGCGACTAACCAATTGAGCTATGGCGCGGCCTCATTATAAGACGTTAGACAGTTTCGTCCAGTGTGACTAGTAAAGATTTTCTTATTTCAATCCTTTTTCCCTTACATGTTTCGGTCTTTACAGACCATCCTCAGAGGGACATCAATACAATCGGAAGCCACTATTACAATATGTTTTTGAAGGTTACAATATATAATATAATGTTGATAAAGTATAATGGGTATTACTACACACCAGTCACACTGGAGGGAACTGTATACCCTCTTATGATAATGTTAGTGTGACGGACCAGAATGAAATGAATCAAATTTACCCGATGTCCTTCTTTGTTTCCTTTTTGTTTACCTCTTTGTTGCGATGTTATTTAACGACCCTCTTTGTATATAATGTCGAATTATGGGATGATTGGTTAATTATTAATTAATTGGGATTTTCTGGAACGAAGCGGCCGTTGCCTAATACTGGTGGTATCTTGGCATCTGTCTGGAGGGATAGGAAGACCACTAAAATCTTCAGTCAGAATATCCGGTACCCGGACCAATATTTGAAATGAGCGCCTCAAGATCACATGTCTAGCGCATTACCGCTCCGTTGTTCATGTCTATATGTTGCAGACGTGAATTAATCTGTTCGTATCTAACTGCCTCCTTGTCCATCTGTCCATGGCCCTACAGACCTCTGTTGGACCTTGGCCTCCTTTTCAGATTTCCAATCCTATACACAGTCGGTAGGCCTCCTTGGACGGGGGATCAGCCCATCGCAAGGACGCTACCTGCAGACAGGACAGCACAAACATAGCACAAACGCACACAGACATCCGTATTTTGAGTGGGATTGGAACCCACGATCCCGGCTTCCAAGCGAGCGAAGACCGTTCATGCCTTAGACCGCGCGGCCACTGTGATCGGCCTTCGCATCCATAGATAATAAATACTTTATACAGTTTTCTGATTCTTATATTTATAAATCAAGTGTGTGCCTGATGTCAAATGTCGGATGCTTGCGATATTTTTCTTCTGTCGTGCCTGTTTTATCTGTCTCTCTCGGATATTACTTCCAAATAGCGAATATGGCTTGAACTTCGGCCAAAGAAAGTAAGAGTTCTACAATCGCGTTCTACCTGTTACATCTGCTACATCCACTTTTACCAAAATCCGTTTTCTTAATTAGGTCTCATATAATTAAGAGCAATGAAAGGTATTATACATCCCGAGGTAAATTAATTTACTTACTTTAAAAATAACTCCTAAGAGGAGACATAAAACACAGATATTCCTTGTGTATTCACCGTATAATTCCAATCCATTTCAATTACTTCTCCGTAAAAGTGATTTGCTCTGGTTAAGCTGCCTGACTGGGTAGGCATCAGCCCTCTCTCTCTCTCTCTTTCTGTTTTGATCTTGTCTGAAGACAGGGCACAAATAATAGGCAAAGTCTCTGCGTCATGACTGCGGACCATTGTCTCAGACCTTTAGAACTAAAGTGCTTAATATAATTGTAACTAGGTCTGTATATAGGATCTGAGGTTCTCACAACAATAGTTATGAAGAGTTCTGTTTTCTGGGATCCGTTGAATTTAAACGGACGTTTCGAAGGATTAAGTCACCTCCATATTCAGGGTCGAAAGATAAGCCAAGCAAGAGACCAGTGTGAGCAAACAAAGCTTACCCCCTGCTTCATGCTGGTATATCGCTTGGATTATTCTTCGACCCTAAAGATGGAGGCAGCATTTCCATTCGAAACGTCGGCTGGCTTTCAACGGACTACACGGCCTTAATCCCAACAACTGGAATTATTTTTAGGTCTGTATAAATTACAAGTGTTGTCCGTCCGTCTCTCATCCGCGCGATATACCTTTTTTGGCAGTTCTGAATTTCTGGGTACACAAACGACACACGACAAATGAAAATGAAAAGGCTGCCCCACTTACCTGTGGTCATGATGTCTGCGGATGTAACTGTTACCTTGTAGATCCACTGATCCGCAACTTGTACGATTGTACGAATTGATTTGGTTACAGCCTTCACTTTCCGGTGTTCTCCTTTTGGCATGCAATTTGGCGAGCGCGAAGCTAACTAGTTGTTGTATAACTATTTTGTAGAAAATAATAAAACAATGCCTGTTCTTTGTGCTGTTTGATATTACAACTGGCCTTGGTCAGGAAAGTAATGGTTTAAATGTGAATTTAATTCGTTTGGCGTAACTGATTCTATTTAAGTGAAATTTCACGAATGTTTCATGAGTTTCTTGTTCCTTAAATATGCCTATACGTCGAAGAAAAAAAAAACTTGGCTATACTTTGGAAAAAATTAATAATTTGAGCTAACAATAGAACAAATTTTGTACGTTTGAAATCTCGCACTTAGTAATGCACAAAATGAGATTTTAATCCGTATTCTATATTTTATATAATTTATTTTATAACACGAAATTTTTTATGAAATTCAAATTTGAAAATTCACTAGAGTTAAATATAAGCACAATTCTGCAAAACTTGACGGGTGTCCTTTGATAACTTTCCTGTCTCTGGAGTATACTTCAGATATTAGTTACAAAAAATAGATTAAAGCGCGTTAAGTTTCCTTTTCACGTGAATGTGATAAAATAAAAATGATGGCTCGTTCAACGTCCCGCATGTACACTTTACTTCCAGTAGTAATCGCACACGTTCACCAAATGGATTGACGCCAATGAACGCGTTCGGTTAGCACAGTGACTAAGTTATCGTGTTCGCCGTAGTCGAAGTTTTCTTACGACTGGCTGACCGGAGGATCGCTCTCCACTAACTCACGTTGCCTCCTCGCGGCACAGAACGTAACTAACCAGGTTCATTGCTACCAGGGCTGGCTGCAGTAACATGTGATTAGCAAGACAAAAATTCAACCAGTTGCAGGAAAATTCGATGGAAATTAAAGTTGGCGTCTTGTTTGCAATGTTAATGACTGAATAAATATAAAGGCTCGCTGAATAAACAGCAAACAACTATCTGTTACCTCGTCACTCAACTACACAACCACCAGACGGAGTTCCTCGCGTTTGCCCCTTGAGGACGAATTCCGTGCAGTGCTGTTACCCTGTTCCTTAACCATTAAATCAAACCATGAAATATGTAAAATCTCACAGTAGACATGTACTTACTGACTGCACTTACATTTCCCGGATGCAACATTTGTACGTATTTTTTGTCATGCAGATGATCTTAAGGTTATAGGGTGCAGGGTACAGAGCTCTTGTGATTACGACATCCGGCTAAGCCTATTACATATATCATTGTGTTAAATGGAGCACTCCTTTCCCGTGGATTTATCGGATATCTACCATTTATCCTGCTATTCATTTTTCCAATATATCCTCAACTTATTCACTGCATGGGCCGTGCAATGGCTCAAGTGGTTAGTCGCTGGCTTCCCACCTCGGCAGCCCGGGTTCGATCCCGGGTCAAGTCATGTGGGATTTATGGTGGACAATATGGCACTGGGGCAGTTTTTCTCCGAATACTTCGGTTTCCCTGCCTATTTTAATTCACCAATTGCTCCACAATCACTATCATCTGGGGCTGGTAGAATAGGCCAATAGCGGCCGCAGTACCAAGTGGACTCGGTCTCAACCCACTAAGAATAAAAAAAATATATATATTTCATTCCTTGTCTCTGCCGTGTTTAACCTTGGGAGCTGCTACAGTTATCGTCCAGTAGACCAGCTCCTAGATACCAGTGTCCCACTGCGGAAGACCGGAAGTAATGCCAAAGTCGTTTCAGTGAAAGTGGAGCAAGTTTAGCTTCTACTGGTTCGATTGCAGTACATTTGCACCAATGTTCTACGATCTATTATTGTCGACGTAGTTTGAGACAGGCCCAAACCAACCCCATCAGCACACTATCGAAACCTCGCCCCTCAGACTCGGAAGTAAGCAAGTTTTTCAGCGTTAATTCACAATCTACGAGCTACAGTTTTTGACACCATCAGAAGTAGCCATTCTTCGTCTTTCTTATCACTTCTGAAATTGCGATATTCATAGTAAACTCTTCCCGTTGTTGTGTTGCCATCCGTAACTGTAGGAATCTGCTTAGCAACAAACTAAGACAATTATGAGCAATTCACAAATACTTCCCCAAAAAAATGATTACAGCTAACACGAACGAACGACCCAATACTGAGAAACTGGTGCCAAAGGAGCATGCTAAAGGTTCTTAGTGACTTCCTTCTGTGCATACAAAGAGAAGTAAACCCTTGCAGAAGAGTGTGCACTGCAATTTCTTTCACGGTGGCTATTTACATTGCCTTTCATATCTGAAGGGGGGATATGCGAGTATAGTTCCCACTTCCTGTCAATCCATTTTATCCACTCGTAACAGCCGTCTCCTCTCTCATTCTCCCCCGTATTCCCTTCCCGTCCCATTCTGTGTCGCCCTGTCGCCATAGCTGGAAGCGAGTCTGAAGTCCTTCTTACATTAGTAATGATCCCATTGTTGTCATCGTCCTACTGACATAATTCTATTCTTGTCAGAATTCCCTTGCCGTGATCCCATTGTTGTCATCGTCCTACTGACATAATTCTATTCTTGTCAGAATTTCCTTGCCATGATCCCATTGTTGTCATCGTCCTACTGACATAATTCTATTCTTGTCAGAATTCTGTTGCCATGATCCCATTGATGTCATCGTCCTACTGACATAATTCTATTCTTGTCAGAATTCTGTTTCCATGGTCCCATTGTTGTCATCGTCCTACTGACATAATTCTATTCTTGTCAGAATTCTGTTTCCATGGTCCCATTGTTGTCATCGTCCTACTGACATAATTCTATTCTTGTCAGAATTCCCTTGCCATGATCCTATTGTTGACACAATTTAATTGTTTTCACTACACCATTTTTCAAAATCTTATTTGTGTCATAACACCATTTTAATTACAATCACATTCTTGTCACCGTTCCATTGTTGTCGTGATCCCATAGTTGTCGCTATACAGGGTGATTCACGAAGTTTTACCCCGGCTTATGGTACATATTCCTGGGGTTATTTCCTGCACTTGTGGTCGATATTCAATAGTTACGGAGTAACAATAGATTTTCGAAACGCAACATTGTGAATGCAGCGCTATGTTTCAGCGTGGGCGACCATACGTTCCAGTCAGCTATGTCAGCAGATAAGGTAGACCCGTTTGAATGTTGCGCGTAGGTAGATAGGCAGAGCGGTTCATACGCGTGCGACGCATTGTGTTGACGTGCAGGGAGACATTTTTGAAAATCTTATGTAAATCCAGTCGTCTTCTAAAGCACTACAGTTTAAAGGAAACAGATTGATAGAAGGGTGTGATATGCAACCATTGGTATGTTTACAGAATGGGATGCTGAAAATAATGTAATTTTGTAACACAAAATCGATGAAAAATGTTACGCAATGCAAAATTAAGAAATTGGAAAAAAAAATCGTTTTAGAATGCTTCTTTCCTAAAACATTAACAATTTAAAAAGTGTTCGTATTGTATTTCTAATTTGTTTTGACTGAAATTCAAAGAAAAAAAGATTTTTCGCCAGTGTTCAAATTACTGTAGCTCTTTAATTATGAGTTGGATACCATTAGTATATTAACAATTTTTGTTCCAAATTACCTCAGGAATGCCCTCCCTAAGTGGGGGTAAAACTTCATGAATTACCCTGTATTATTATTGTGACCATCCCAATGCTTTCCTTACGGAGGATGTAACAGAGAAATAAGTTGACTTAGACTCGAACCCATGCATGTAAGTAAAATTAGTTATTTATCTGGGGTTGTCTCTCCAAGGCCAATTTTTTTCTACAACGCGCAGTTTGGAAGAAATTTGATGGGACGAACGGAGAGACAAACTTTTGAAATTATGTGTACTGAAAAAAAACTGTAGAAAGGAAAAATGCTTATGAAGGCGACTGAGCATAAGCCCCTTGCTTGTGAGGCAGAATCCTCACGCAGAGTTTATGCGCGAGTACTACTGCAATAAGAATGTCACGCTGTACACTCTGCCTTTGTCTCATCACATCAGTGTCCCACAGCACACGCTTTGGCAAATGTCGCCGTAGGATAATTACACCCTTACAAAATCTGTATTGATAAACATCGACACTGCCTTGCTCTCCGTATTTCTTGTGTGAAATTCAAGTAAAATCCAAGGGCAATAGGGAGACGCCGCTCGTCTTACGTTTTCATGAGATGGCTCCGTATTTCCCGAAGGAGTAGATTAGTTAGGGTCGCTTGTCCCGTGTTGTACGCAAACGTGTAAATCTTCTCCTGACGTCAGTGTACCTTTATTGTGGATACTGGAATGACTGCAGTAGCTCGTGCTGTTTGCAGACCCTACGCTGTCGCCTCAGCATGAGAGCCTCCCAGATGTGGAAGGAAACTTCGTATGTGTGGAATATACGTCTGGTCGTCTAAACAACAGTTTCGTGAAAATTCACCAGAAGCTCGATCAAAGTGGCCCATGGTTGGGCCTAATTTTTGGCTTTAATGCTGATATTGGAGTTTCACAAAAATATGATTGTTTGTTAGTGTAAAACATCATATTTTATAAAATTTAGTGTCTAATTGCCGGTATCCACTTCAGATTATGGTGTCTGCTTTTCTAGTCCTACTTTTTAATTCTTAGTTGGGTGAGACTGAGTCCACTCGTCACCGCGGCCACAATTTGCCTATTGTATCAGCCCCAGATGATAGATGATGGTGATTGTGGAACAATTGGTGGAATGAGAAGTGGCAGGGGAAACCGAAGTACTCGGAGAAAACCTGCTCCATTGTCACTTTGTCCACCACAAATACCACGAACCCGAGCCGCCGCGGTGGGAAGCCAGCACCTATGATACGACCTGTTTCTGTTCCACTCTGTTTCGCTGTACATCACTCCACTACGTTCTTGCGCTCAACTAACGTGTCTTGTACGCAATGTCTCTCCACACACCAGCAGTTTATTCCGATTCTCAGTTCACGATCAGACTCAGCTCAACTGACTCACTCCTTGCTCCCTTCCG